TTCGGCAGCTGGACCTCAAGTTTTAAGAGATTCATATGATCTCAACGTCGGGTCCCATGCACGAAGTTTTTTTCTCCGTGTAAGTATTAATATAAATTTCCCTTTTTTCACAATAATAATTCTGAATAAACAATGTTGCGAGTTGCCACGGCGTCGTTGTGGATCCTGTCGGGGTTCGTCAACTTACATTCACAGGTCGGAAGTTGGTCTTACGACGCACAATGTCAAAAAACAAATTAATTGTGTCGCCAGACAACACGTCCTGCAATACCTCATCAACTGAAGCTGGATTCATTATTTTATCAAAAATATCTTCAAATATCCTCAGAGAACAAAGGATAGAAAAAGAAATATCAGAGCAGAAAGAAAAAGAAAAGACAGACAAACGCAGAAGAGATTCAAGAAAAACTCAGTATAACAGAGAAAAAAATTCAGAAAAACAACAAAGAAAACGACTCCTTTGCGGTAATCTAAGCTCAGCTGCGTGTGAGCATGAGCACGATAAAATAAAAACACCGAAGATATTTAGGAAAAACACAGTAGAGAACCAAGGAAATCACAGTAGAACAGAGAAAAAAATATAGTCGAATAAATAAAGAAAACTATTATCGAAGAAATTCTAATTATTCGAAAGTAATTAGCTGGCTTAATCAATTCGTATAGCTGCGTAGGAGCATGAGCGAGATTTATCATCAACTGACCGCTGGCCGCTAGGTACCTGGGTGGGCGAGCGACAATACGTAAGCGGTGGCATATAGTTCGATTGACAGAGGAGTGGGGAACGGTCAGACGTAGGGGAAAGGTTCAGGCTGAACCGTTCAGCACAGCGCAGCGTCAGTCACCGGGTGGGGAAGAGAGTCCGGGAGGGGACACTTCCCCTCGAGTGAAATAGAAAAAGGCAGAATCCTTCGAAGTTTATATTAATGATGTCACAGGCAAATAGTCAAATCAGGCATTTTATCAAATATCCAGGTTGATAGTAAAATTTTCAAAGTTTTGTACGCTTCTCAAGGAGGTCTCAATTTAATAGTATTTTAACAGTGAGAATTTCTTCAATAACGAACTGGATTACATTTTGCAATAAGGAACCACTATCTCTGGCTCTTTCATAAAAGCACTTATCTGCATAGGGAAATCAATGGCATATATGTTGTTTCTAAAATGAGCCAGGAATAGTGGTTCCTTATTGCAAAATGTAATCCAACTGTTATTGTATGTTACCTTTCGCAATGCTCCTCATGTACATTTAACCGTCAAAATTGTAAAATGTCAGCTTTTTTAAAAAATGCTGTATCTTTTGAAATGAATGTTCATTTCTAGGCTAATCATTACAACAACCATAGAATGATGCAAATTTTTAAAAGCAATTGCTCTTTATGAAGACAAATAATTATTTTATCCAAAATTAGCGGATTCAATCCAAGTGAGAATGTTTGACATTCTGTCGAGGCATTTGACAAAATGCCTGATTTGATCATTTGCCTGCAACATTTATATGTGTCGCCATATCAGGAGTCAGAAAATTAAAATCTCTCTTCCATACAAGACTGCTGCTTGCTCTGATTCACCAGTGGAATACCCATTGAGCTGTTAAAATTAATTTCTCAAAGATGATGTTAAGGTAAACTCATCCATCTTCATTCTCATTCTGGCGTTTTCAAAAATAAATTTGACATCAGCTGTTAGTCAATCCTTCAACTTCTCCAGACAAAAGAAATTTCAAATTTTGTCAAAACTCTATTGTGGTCAATGTCTACCTTTAGGTCCAGTATTTGACAATAAATGAAGTTCAAAATGAGTCTAACTAGACTCTGTTTTTTCTATGTCTCTAAAATTTGTTTTGTGTTTTTATTTGCCAGGACAAACGAGAAGGCTCTTCTTGAAACGATCGCAAAAGAAAACACGATCAGCGAGGCCACCGACGCCAAATTGAAGTCTGTTGTAACGAACTTCCTTGCTGGTTTCAATGCCTAAATTTCTTGTTGATACTTGTAAATTATTTATAGTTCTTTTTTAAATTTTAAACCTGTCCTGAACTCGCAAGTTGTTAATATTATCAGTGATCGTTCCAACTACTCTGTAAAATAAACTGCATTTGTTCTGAATCATTTTAGAATCCACTTGGAAAGGAAGTAAGCCTCATGTTGCTGTAATTTAATTGTATGCTGTAATAATTTCTGTGAAATTACTTGCAAGCTCACTCCGTACCCTCTCACTCAATTTTTTTTTTTTTTTAAAACCAAGGCATTATTGATTGTTCCAACTGTTAGCAACGTTATCGTAATTATTAAGATTTGTACCGAATTCGAATAAATGAATGAGTCGTTTTAAGTTTGTACGTACTCTCTCAATCATTACATATCTTCCTGCATCACTGTCTGGACTTCCCCCAATAATTACTGTAGTAATTATGAAAGGGAGTATTTTAGTCAGGCGTTTTTGAACTGGAATGCCCAGTTCCAAAATTCATTTCCATCGTAGAAGTCAATATGAGGGTACATTCATTAATATTACCATCGTATGTTGTAATAATGTAGAAGCATTTCCAAAAATATTAACCAGAAAAAATTGCATTTCAACAGGGACATTGTTTATGCAATGTTTTTAATGATTTTTTAAATGTTACCTTATAATGTTATGCAACAACATTCAAAACATTGCCAATAAGCGCTTCAAGAAAATATTGCACAGACATCAATTATTGAAGCTTTGCTAGGCGGGGATTGCTACTTTCCTCCCGGACTGATGATTTTGTTTTCATGAAGCCAAATTGGCAGGACTTAAAAAGTAAGTGCCAGTACCTTAAAATCATGCTGAGAGGCCCCTACAAAATATCCGGAAACAACTCAAACGTTCTTTTACAATCTTCATCTTTTGCAATTTAATCATTTTGATACATCCAAAGCTATTGTTTTGTTGCAATAAACGATTTCAAAATCTTGCAGCTGTCTCATGGGATTCAAAAATGGGGCCTTAAAATCATGCTGGTCCTTCTAGGGCCTTGGAAAAGCAGTTTCACAATTTATCATCAGTGAAAGTTGAAAAAATCTTACAGTTCGAATACATATGAAGATAACTTTACCTTGACAAGCTAATTGAGAGTCTCCCAGCTAATTAAGGGTCTCCTGGCTGATTGGCAGGAATTGTGGTTCTCCCTAGCCATGAGACTTGAAAATATTTTTGTAAGTGGCCTCTCTGGAAACCCCTCAAAACACCTTAATGTTGTTTGGTTATCTTTAGTTTGTGAAGTGTGTGAAATTGCAAGCTTACTCATTACTCACAGGAAATAGCTTGTTACCAAATGAGACAAGATTACATTAACGCCATGTCAGTTTGCCCTCAATTTCATTGTAGCTCTCACCTGATCCACTAGTGGTATTACCTTGAAATGGAACACTCACTAATGCACACTAGAAATAACTGGAAGTGATGACTTTAACGCCTTACTAGTTCGCCCTCAATTTCTAGTGCAGGCAACCCAAGCCTCCACGTGGTTGAATGGCAATATTGTTGTTCAGAAAGACATGTTTCATCAAACTGGAAAAGGTCACTTCAACACCATATCAATTCGTCTTCAATCATTATTGCAGACAACAGACGCTCCAACTTGATAGAATGACAAAAAATGATAAAAGTGAAGTAGTGGTATCGTAGTGTAATGGCACGATTCCTCAGAACACACTGAAAAATAGTTTTTTGTAGAGCCGAAAGAGGTTACCTTCTGCTACTATCAACGGCATGTCAGTTTGCCTTCAATTTTTAGTGCAGGCAACACGAGCTCTCAAGTGGTCGATTAGTCGTATCGTCTCCCATATATAAATGATAGATAAACGCGGTCTCTGTCGGCGAATTTCTCGTAGATACGATACTCTTTTGTTCTGATGGTAAGCTTTGATTTTTCGCTGGATTATTGATTAATTTTCACTAAAAGTAAGTGTACTTACGGTAATTCTTACTATCAAAAATGCACTTGTAGTTCTTTTTAAGATTATATTATATATATTAAATAAATACCGATTGCCGAAGTATGAACCCACGCACGTCCATTGCGATGTTTCAAAATTCCAGCTCCTATTTCATTTTTTCGTGGAGGAAAGTCAACTTCATACTCTAAAATTTATACAATAGATTCTCCTGAGAGAGGAAAAATAAAGGCAGTTTTTATGAAATAGCGTTGACTAGCATTTCAAAGAAATTCTGAAGTGGGTGCATGACAAGACCTGTAACGTCGCATACGGAGATCCGTGGTTGAGGCCATTGATGAGTGAATAAGATAGGCAAATTACTTAAATTTTGTGTAGTTTTTTTTAATTTTTCATCATAATAGATGACAAATGGATCATACAAAGTATACCTGTGCAAAAAACTTTAAAATCACAAGTTGAAAAACGTTGACTGCGCGAGTTAGAATGATCGCGCAGGAGAACATGTGAGGAAAGATAGAAAGTTAGTTGGATTTTATGTACATAATTTTATAGTACATATAATTTTAAATGACAATAATCAATTCAGAAACTTAAGTCGAATAACTCCTGGAGTTCGAATATTAGAGCGAAAACAGAGCAGCCAGCACTAAACGCGTAACAGCGCCTGCAAGACTGCAGGAATCCTTCACGCATTGCGCATAAGCACTGTGGAATATATTAAACACCACGTCAGATACATCACCGTGCTACGCGCAATGTGTGAGGTATTCTTGCAGTCTTGCAGGCGCTATTACGCGTCTCGGCTCGCGCTGGCTGCGCCGCGCCGTGTTTTGGCCCTAATACTCAAACCCTAGGAGTTAGCATTTTTCAATTCATGATTTTGAAATGTTTATAATTTCTGAACGGATTATAGTCATTAAAAATCATAAAGAAATTAAGTATTAAAGGAGAATATACTGCGTGTTTTGCAAATATTAAGGAAGTTCCGTGCCAAATACCAAATCTGCTTGTTAATATCTTGTTCAGGAATTGATTTCTGAACTTCCATATGTTCGAATCGTTTTCTGCATGAAAGAAGAGAAAAAGACCTTCTTTTTTTTCTTTCTTTTTTTTTAACTTTTCGCGTGACACCACATACCTACTTCGGAGTTCCAATAGTTGCGCGCTTGATTTCCGCATTTAACGCGATGCGGACAGAATAGGTACATACATTCATAAACGTCGGTAATTTGAGACGAGCGTAAAATTGTGAGAAATTCAAGAGAGAGGGCGCCAGAAGGATTGGATTTTTGAAAACATAATATTATTTTACCCCTCGAAAATTAGGTCAAAACGATAATTCTATTCGTAGTCAACACAACTATTATTAAAAATACATACCCTGGTAAAAATTGGCGATAAGAGCTGCGTTTCAAAATACCATAGGAATTCTTATAGCCGGCTAAAGAGGGCCACAGAAAATCATATAGCTGGCTGTAGAATGCGGAGAAAATCATACGGCCGGGCTATATACGAAGCGATAAAAAATTATGCAGCCGGGCTATAGTTCCTATCGCCGGGCTTTACATTTTATCGCCTGGTTGTTGCTTTTTCGCCATCGATTATAATAGGCCATAAGAAATTGTGTAGAAATTTGTGTGCTTAGGAAATCATTAAGTTTGATACGGAGCCACCTTAATATTTACAAAACACACATTATATTTTCCTTTAATACATATTTTTTTTCATCATTTTAAAATGAGAACAATCCATACATGATGTGAAAACATTTCAAAATCATGAGTTGATTAACGCTGACTCCGCCAGATTAAATATTAGAGCCTAACACAAAGCGGAGCGGCGACGCACTGGCGCCTACAAACCTAACAGGGATACTTCACGCATTGCGTAACGCGTGAAGTATCCCTGTTAGGTTTGTAGGCGCCAAAGCGCGTTTCGCGCTAGCTGCCCGCCTGCCGCGCCGCAGCGTGCCACCATAGAGTGCATAGAGTCGTAATGTAAGTGGGAAAGCTGGCGCCACTTTTAAGCATTTTCCATGTCCCGAATTCCGAGACTCCTGTGTGACGCTGGGTCACTTTTTCGATACATAATCGATTGTTTGCGATACACGGGTACCCGGCCATCCGATGACAACAACAACAACAACAACAACACCAACAACAACAACAACAACAACAAAGGAGATAGGAATTATCACGTATTCCACACCGCCATTTTGGATCGAAAATGTATCGAAAAAGCGACCCGAGCTCGGCGCACACCGGGCTCGGAATTCGTCGAGCAGAACATGGCGCCAGCTCTCCCATTTACATTACGACTCTATGTACTCTATGCGTGCCACGGCGCTTGAAGCAACTATTTCTCACCAGAGGTATTGCTCAGTATCATACGAAACTGAAGGCGGTCTAATATATTAGGAATGGCAGGCATCCATCAAACGTACGGAGCTTTCCTCGCAAAATAAATCAAGATACTACGGCCCAAAAAGAGAGCAGTGGTCCAGCATCCGTAATTAGTAACGTTTAGCATACACTTTATCGCCTGGCTGTTGCTTAATCGCTATCGGCCATAAAAGGCTATAAGAAATTGTGTAGCCGGCTATAGAAGCTAGGTATTGGAAATCTTACAGCCGGCTGTAGGTCTATGGTATTTTGGAACACAGATTCTACTGCCAATTTTTACCAGGGTATGACTCTTTTTAATTTAATTTTTTAGTTTTATTCATTGAAGGTTACCTCTACATGAATTAAGCCTATTGAACCAACATGAGGATAAGAATAAAATTACCATGGATAGATTAAAAAAAAAAAAAAAAAAAAAAAAAAAAAAGATTAGCTGCTGACCAGAATATGATTTTTTATCTACCGAGTTTATACTTTGAGAGAAGGGCTAAATGAGAGATTTTTGTCCAAGGAGTCAGGCCAGGAGCCCAGGGCCCTACAGACAGGGCCTCCAAAAATCCTGACGGGTGGCTCAAAACGCCCCCCAAAAAATCGAAAGAACCACATTCAAGAGGACTGCAGGTTAGCTGGAGGGGGGCACTCGAGAGGAGGGGCCCAAAAAACGTTGGAGCACCCCCAAGACTTTTAGAGTTAGCCCGACACTGTTTTTGTCAAAGATCGGGTGCCAACTCTGCTGAAACGAAGCCGAGGTGGAAGCGTGGCCGCGGTGGAGGATCGCGGTGTGGGGTCGTAGCAAGTACAGGAGGGAGAGGAGGGGGCGGGGAGGGTTGCGCGGGCACTGGGCACGGGCAACTGAGCAGCTACGTAAGGAGTTGCCAAACTCACTCGACAATCCACCTTTTTCCCCGAAGGAAAATACGCGAGCCCGCGCCAGGCTTGACAGCAGGGTCCGAGTGTGATATTGAAGAGGTAGGTGTCAAACGAATCTTACCTGTTTCCAGACCACCCAG